AAGACAGCTTGTCTCAGTGCCACTGGAGCCATGAGCACAACGCCAACTGCGGCCTTAGAAGGGTTGTTAAACCTCCCACCACTTCATATTTTAATCCAAGGAGAAGACAGAGCAGCAGCCCACTAGCTCATTAATGGACAACCATCTGCAAGGATAGGCAATGTAAACAAACAATGGAAACTGAGAGAGGAGATAGATACAGGCATGCCAATCGATGCCACTACTCCAAAATACAATTTTACTTAAAAGTACAAGGTACTGATATCAGAACATGTAGAATGGGCCAAAGGTACACCGCTAAAGGCAAACTCATACTGACAGCAACAAAACCGATAAGGGCACGTACTGGAGACTTCGGGATGAATCCAAAGACCGAACTGACGGTAAACGTAGGTAAATATGCCAAAGTTTTCCAGTCTGAAATCATAGCGATTGACTACTGCGCCAGGGAAATAAAAAGGCTAGGAATACATTACGCATAAGGTTGACATGTTGGCCAAAGAGATCTCAACATGGACTCTCTAGGTCTTGAACCGTACTGTGGCTTAGCATCCTGCCACAAAAGATGATACCTCTTAAAATGGATCCTTAATGAGTCAAAACCTGGTGGAACAATACCATAGGTATGAGGCACGCGAAAAGATTCATAGAAGGGCCATCCGCAAAACTTACAAAGGAACTACTGGAAGGCAACGGCAACCGAACCAGGATTCTGGTTGGACTCCTGACACTGGGGCACTGCCACGTAAGAAAGCATATGCACGGGATAGAAGTATAGACAGAAGAAACACTGAGCAGATACTGCCAGGAAGAGGAGGAGACCGCAGAACATATTTTGTTTCTGTGTAGGTGCAGGTTCTTGCAACTTGGAAAGGAAAAACCACAAGCAAGATACTAAAAAGCCACTGGCAAGCCTATGGAGGTTGATTAAAACGTGAAACTGGCCAGTGAGTTATAAAAAAACGGGGGAGCACAATAAATCTACTCAGGCAGAGGTGCAGAAGGCCTTGTGGCCGCCTCTTTTATCCCTATCCCTATCCCCACTTGGAACCAAGTTACTTGGAAGAACAACATGCCAAAACTTGAAAAATTTATCTGGACGTACGAAATCGAACTGTGGGGTTCAACGAAGTTCTCCAACCAGCAATCTAGGTACTGTGTAAATTTCATACTTCGTATCTAATATTGCTATCCTCCATAAATCCCTGGACTCTCATCTCATTGCAACTACCTAGACCAACACTTATCATTCCAAACCCTTTTCGACAATATTCCAAGATGCCTATAGCGCCAATGCCCTTGCGATTTCCTTCCCATTGTTGTAAGTGATTGCTGTGGTAACCGATTACTCTCTACTCATATCGTGTTATAAAATAAAACTTATAAAGTAAAAAAAAATTGCATGTACTCCTTCTCGAAAAAGAATTACATATAATCTTAGAAAAGAATGCGGGATAAACTTATTTTCTTTGAGGAAACAATCGAATTCCTGTTTTCCCTTCCATTTATTGACATAATTGTCAGTTTCTTCGAGTCCTATAGAGCTTAGGTGACAACTGCGGTCGAGTACCACTCATTAGTGAATAGGAACACTACGTTTGCTTGTTTCAATTGACGTTGCGTTCTAGTTGCCCAATTGGGCTTACTAGCGCTTCATTGTTTGATTGCGCCCTTGAATTCGGCAATTCCCTACATCTTTCCCAGCCCTACAAACGGATATTATTAATTTCTTCAGGCTGTGGCTTTAAAAACACAAATAACAGTTCTATTAATTTATTAATATATAATCATTAGTAATTTTTCTTCTTTACACCAGACAAGACAGTAAAAACTTTTATCCTGGATCGATTATAATGGAAGGGAGAAATTCTCTTCTTCATAAAAGAGCAATAAATCAAACGATTCGACTGATCTTTGTGCCGAATTAAATCAAGTCGAACAGGCCTGACCCAATCCACACGTATGTATCGGCCATCAACTAAATACTTTAAAAAAGTTTTGACATCTCGGAGGAAGATTGCTATTTTCGATTTTCTCCAAGGAAACGTCTAAATGAATTTTAGACTTTTAACTATTCTGTCAAGTTGTGTCAAAGTTTTATGAATTGATGACAAATATGTGTGTGTGTGTGTGTGTGTGTGTGTGTGTGTGTGTGTGTGTGTGTGTGTGTGTGTGTGTTCTAGGCCCAATGCCTAATTTTTGCGCAAGTAAAAGCGATTCGGAAATGAGATTAAAACAAAAATACAAAATTCATGACTGGTTTGCCACCGGCTGTGTCTGAGCAGTAACAAACAATTCAAAGTAAATTGTCTCCTTCTTTAAATTATAATAACATACTGTCCAACATCCAGGCGCCGATGCGACCCGCCAGTGATATTGGTCCTCCGGGCAGGATATTGTTATTTAACGTAAGGAAGCGTTACAATCTACTTACTTTAGGATACTGATAGATTCTTCGTTCGATTTTTATGAGAAAAACCGTTAAATCGGACACTAGGTACAATGCTACTACAATTATTAATGGTTAATTTATCGGTTACTAACTAACAAAATATAAACTTCCAAGTTACTTTTCACAAATGCCTTCTAGATCGACGTGCCTTCTAGATCTCGAGATACATTATATTTGCACACCATCTACGTTTATATATATTGGTAGATTCTTGGTTCGATTTTTATGGCAAATGGCCAAAAACGATTAAATCAAGGATTAAATATAAATTAATTACTAAAAGAAGAAACACGTTTTCAATAATTTGCAATATTATAACGAATAGTAAAAAAAAATCTTCATAGAAGAAAATGAGAATGGACGTCTGGCGTTTGAAGAAAATTCATAATGAACCACGAGATCCAATAATTGAATGTCGAAAGAGGCATTTCAGTAGAGGCTGCTCAAAAACCACTTTCAGCACTCGAAAAAGAGATATTTCTACGCAGAAGTTTCGGATAAAGAAATTCTCGAAAAGACCAACTTACTCCTCCCAAGCAATGAACTTCTTGAAGCGCCTTTGTCAATTGAACAATTTAGAAAGGGTGACTTCGTTCTGGCTTTTTAATAAAAAGAAAAGGCTCAATTATCCGATTGTTCGTTCTGAGTCGAAGATTCGAACTTAAGTAATGCTCGGTTTTACTTTATCTTTATTTACCGAAAAAAACCCTTTAAGTTAGTGATGTGAAAAAATAGTATATCTTCCTATTGTTTACTGAAGATTATAATTAGTGTTTTATACATACAATACACTGTACACTGCTCTTCAAAAAAAGTGGCGCACTTTTAAGTTATTTCTTGATTATTGATTTTTTTTAAAGTTAATAATGTTTTAACAATATTTTTCTTAATTTTCTATTTACTAAAATGTTTTAATAATTATAATTAAACGGCTAGTATTTGTTTTTGTCGCCGATTGTGAGGAAAAACCGTTTAATTCCTAATTTGACTTAAAATCCCCACAATGTAAATCATCAACAAGGTCATTTAATCTTTTAAAAATGTCTTTAATCGCTATTGTGTTGGTCGCGCAAAACAAACCGATTACGAGAATGCCGATAATAAGTAGCCTATGGCACTCGTTGAGGATGGAAGAAATCAGCGGTACGCATCGCGAGTTTTAAGTTTGGCTGAACGGCAGTCCGTCGAACGTTCTGCAGAGCCGGTAGACTAGAAGGTGTACTTAGAGACTAGGGCGAGGGACCAGCCGACGACTGATTTCTGTGAATTCTGCTTCTCGAAGAATGCGAGAAATCGCTTTTCCATCTTCTTTTTAAAAAGATAGTTCCTACACTCAGTTAGTTGTTTTCACTTATTTATCATTTCTATTAATCGCTTTTCCACCGTTTCTCAACCTGCAAGATGTGCCAATTAGCGCTGAAGCAGTAAGAAGAGACTTGCAGAAAAGAGGGAATACCGATATTGAACAAAAACTGAATGGAGGAATGTTATGTTTTCAGATTATTCCCAGTTTTTCTCCAGTCACTCGACGAACGTCATTCATTTTACCAAGCAGCCGTAGAGCGCTGTAGCCAATGAAACATTGTCGGAAGAGGGTCGTTCGGAGGTGGTTCAGTTATGTGTGGAATGGTATTTCTTTGGAGGCAAAAACAGAGCTACACGTTTGTAATTAGCTGTCACTTAATGCAGAAATCTATGAGTGAGACATTCTTGAGAAACATGTGGTGCCATTTGCTCTTGTCATTGGCAATGAATTTTTGTTTATGCAAGAAAATGCAACGTCGCCACCACCGTCATGCACGTGCATGTCACGATATCAATGCATGCTTCTTTCTGAAGGGCCTTTTGAATTCCATTGAGCTTATAGAGCTCATACATTGGGTAAAACGAAGACATAACACTCCTACAACTGTATCTGAGCTTAAAGTTGTCTTAGTTGAGATTTAGGATGAAATTCCTCAAGATGTTAAAGGCTTAACTAGGAACATGTCGAAAAAATTAGTGTATGTAATAAGAGCAAAAGGAGGAACACACCATATAAAAAGATTATTATATGTTACAGATTATTATATAGACGATTATGTTTTATATTCATATACAAAAGTCATTTTTTGATAATTTTTTTCGAGATATTTTTATTTTCACACTAACTAACCTTTTAATAAATATTATATTATAAACTAGTATTTACTAAATTATTAAAAATATAGGTGATAATATCACTGAAAAGCAAGTACTTAAAAATATCAGAATTTCAAAGTGTGCCATTTTTTTGTGAAGATAAAACTATTTTCTTAAATCTTTTCTTTTCAAATTAATTACATAAATACACGATGTGTCTTCAGGGATAAAAAAAACTTTACAGAACCAGTTATTACGTCTTCAGGGTTACATGCTTGGTATACAAGAGAACAATGAACCGGAATACGGGGAGATGTAAAACTATAACGAAACCTTTGTTTGAAAATGGTTGATAATCTTCAAGATAATCGATTGTATTTATAAAATAAATTTTTTTAGGTAGGAGAAAATACTGGAAATAACTCACCTTTGGATAGATGTTGTGGACATGAAACGAATCTTTGTACACGTACTTTTGCCCCTTTTGCAGAGGACAGCCGACTTTGCTCATCGAACCGTCTTTTTCCTTGAAAACTTTTTGGCAAACGTCTTTTCCGTCAATTTCGAAAAATGGTACGTTAACGCCGACAATCAGAGCATGGACGTTGGCACGGAGATTGCCAGGTTCGATGTTGAGATCTGAAACAAAAATAATTCGCTTATTAAGAGCCTCGAGCTTACAAAAAGGGATGTTTAGAGAACATCTCTGTCTATAGAGGCTTGAACAAGTATCAGAACAGTGAAGTTTCACCAATGGAAAACTGGCTGCTATATGGCGAATTGTTCCAGAAGAAGTGAAACCCATCCTAAAAAGACCTCAGATTTCCCTAACAATGGGCAACGTCAAAGCAGCCCGCCTAACCCGAAACAAGTCCATTACTGTTCATTAAGAAAAGAAATACAGCCATTTTTACATATAGGATTTCCGTCAATATCAATTACAGACATTATAGTGGGGTGTTGGATATTCTTCATTTTAAGCGTTTAACCAGTAGATTTCATCTTCTTTAAATTAATGCCTAGGCGTCGTTTACGACACCCAGGACTATTTAAACCCCTCTGAGGAATATCGTGTACTATTGGGTGAGAGTTTGATGTCTGGAAAGAAGAAGTAATTTATTAGATTGAATGGTGGACTATCCCCCGCCCTGAGGACTATTGACTACTTTAGAGTTAAAGTGTGAGACTATCTAGAGAGTGAAAGTAATTTATTAGCATGAATGGTTTAAACCCACCCTAAAGAAAATCAGCTACTTTGGGGTGACAGTGTGAAGTCTAGAGAGTGAAAGTAATTTATTAGCGTGAATCGAGGGTCCTTCCTAGAAGAGAATATTCTGACGNCTCAATCGATATCGGCTTTAGATAGCCGAAGGTCATGGGTTCGAATCCCGCTCGTGACACTGACTTATTTATCTCAACTTAAAACCTTAATTAATTGATTGATATTAATTGGTCAAGCGGACCACGAAAAATAGTGAATTTCATGAATATATATATTATTATTGGCCATGTTAGACTCAGTTAACGTACGTACTTACTAAAATACTAAAGTAAACAAACTTAACTACTTCTGACTTACATCTGATTCGTTTGAATGTCTGAAGCGCCTGGAAAAAATGGGGAAGAACATTGGAAATATTGGTTTTTTGAGGCAATCGTGGCAACTATCGCTCTTTTATAAAAGAATTCCGTTTTTCAATCTTAAAATCGTCGCATGAAAAGTGGAAATGTTAAACAAAATCTCTTCGGTTATTTTTATTGGGCAGAATTTCTGGCTGTTTTTTCAAAGGATTTACTCCAGGTTCGGCCATTTGTGAAAGAACAAAAGAGCAATTTTTGAGAAAACCAAGGGTTAAACTATCAAATTAACACTTTGTATATTTTAATATTTTCACGCCTGATTAGGAAAAAATTTCTGTTTAATTATAGTAAAGATGAAGCTGGGTTGTCCTTGTTAGAAGAACAAGGTTAAAACTTCTAAACCTCTACAATTTTGGTTGATTAAAAATCGAGTTTTTCAAACTCCATAAACTCCGTCTAAGCTGTTCTGAAAAGTTCAAAGTTAGGAGATTTGCCATGTGGAAGGAGCTCAAAGTGTTAAAAAAACCTTTAAAGTTCTACCAAACGCATAGCATAGCTAATCTTGGCGTTCCACTGGGTCGAGCCACTCACCACCGGACCAACGGCCTTTTCTTTTAGCCTTGAATTTTCATCACGTGGGATGAAACTCGATAATTCGTTCAAACTCGGACTGGTAGAATAATTATATACGTTTTTTAGATCGATTGTTCAGAACAAGCTTTCTTGGTTCTTCCGATGTTAAAAATACACCAAAATCCGGCTGCGTCCTGTGAGTTCATCTTAAAGGTTGCAATGATTTTTCTAATTTCCATTTTGCCATCATGTCTTTAGACGATATTGTTAAACACCGAACAGAAGCTGTGAATTTTATAACTGCTTGAACCATCAAAGGAAAGATTTACTTGATCAATTGTTTTGCTATTGAACAACTACTCAGTCTCGCTACTTAATTCGTCATGTTAGTAGATTTGTGTGACCAGTCTACAATGAAATTTTATAGAGCGATGTTTTTTACTTTTTTTAGGAGGAGAGGAGAATGGTCAAGTATGGATCCACCCTTTACAGACCAATAGCCTATAACGTACAGCTTTTTTCTGTGAAATTAACCCTTTTCACGTCAAAATAAAATTAGCCCTTTTTAATGGCAAATTGATCCTATCTTTAAAATATCAAATACCTAGGATATAGTATGAAATGTAAGCTCGTAATGTAAAATTTCTGTATTTGAAAAAAAATTAACGTTTTTTAACTTCAAATTAACCTTTTTCAATTTCTTTTTTTAAAAATAATTTGTACATTACAACTACCTTAAATTAGGTAATAAGTAACAGTGAGCATGGTAATTAAAACAAAACAAAATTAAAACCAAGAGTGGAGAAAACACCCATTGGTATTACTCCAATGTTACAATAATATTGCTTGTTCAATTGGTACGTGTCATTATCACTTTCACTGTCATCACCATCACTTCCTAGGAGATCTCGCGGCCATTGTCTCTTCAGTAGGCGGGGAGGGTTTGAGGGGATTCGTCGGGATGCGAGGTTTCTGATGNAATAAAATAAAATAATTAATAAAATAAATAAAAATAATTTATCAATACAATTTAGAATTAGGGTTATATTATAAACCTTTTCAATTTCAAAGAAATTAATAAAAAATAAAGTAATTGGGCTATTAAAAATCGTGATTTCTTACATTTCTCAAATTAAAGGAAGAATTCTTTATTTTTATATTTATTTTTTATAATTTTTAAGTTGAATTGTAATTAATTTTCATATATGGTCTTATAAGAGCCTATTTATATGCTTGCTTATTTAATGCGGTCTCTTAAGTTGTTTTTAATGTTTTTATTTTAACAATAACAACGGTTAATTTGAAATTAAAAATGGTTTGGTTATTAAAAATGGAACTTTAAAATCTATTGCCTAAATAAATAAATTCCTATTTAAATAACCTGACAATTTTTTCATTCATATTTATATGTTAAACATCAATAAATTTAAAAAAAACTTACTTGGCACGAAATCCATTTCAACATGAACTGTTGTCTTTCTTTTAAGTTTACACGGGTATTTTTCGCATCCGCTAATTTTCACTGATCGAACATCAACATTGTGACCTTTCCTTACTAAAACACAAGAAAAAAATATATATTAGAATTGAGTTATATAAATTGAATAAATGCATGCATGCAAGACAAATCTGACAAAACACTGTTCTCTTTCACATTTTCTTAATTGCATTCGCAAACGATGAAATTTCTTTTTAGTTTTTATGTCTTATGGCAAATTAAGTTATTTGCCTACCTACCCACATAAATGTAACAAGGAGCGAATTAATTTCGCAATATTTATCCTTTTCCATTGATGGCTGTTGTCATTGGGCCTTAATTGAATCTGGTAGTCTTTATCTCATAAAATGATGTGCCTTTGCAATCAGAAAAGTATCATTGGCAAATTTTTTGCTTCACGGAAAAACATTGAATCGTGGACATGGAACCTAACCCTACCTAACCTAGCCTAACGCTAACACTCCCTAACCACTCCCGTCCTTACTTAGCATGTAGGCATACTTGCGACCTTAACACTAACTCACCTATGCTGATGTATATAGAAAGAACATAAAAACAAATAATTTAGTCAATCATCACTCATCTAAACAATAAACTATTTTGATTTCAGTTAATCGGAGTTTTAAGCGGGTGAGGAGGGTTGACTGATGTCTACACCAAAAAAGAAGCATTTGAAACCTTAACACCAGTTCAACTAAACTGTCATTTAGTAAAAACACAAAAACAAACAAAATATTAAATAGGGACTTTTTTATTATAAGAACTAAATGCACTATTTTGATTTCGGTGTTTGATGTGATTCAGTAGGTATGAAAGTTGTCTATATCTTGACCTTAGCACGAGTTCAACTAAGCTGATATCTTTCAGAAAATTCATAAAAACAAATAAAATATTCAGTAAGGACTAGTCTACACCAATGAACTATTTTGATTTCTGTGTTTTAACTGGGTGAACAGGCAAATACTGAGGCCGTTGTGAATAGTGAGTTTGGCCATATCTTGGATAAAGGTGGTTGCTTGGTTAGAATTCGAACTAATAACATTTTGAAGAATAATAATACAGTTTCAAAACTGTCTAAACTGTAGTAACATCTATACGCCCCAATAAAAGTGAGAGAAAATTATGTGATTTTATTTAAAAAGACTTTGTCATGGAGGAAATATTTATATTAATTTGTTATCAATTATTATTTCCCAATGAAAGAAACGAGTGATGGTGCTTTAGAAATATTTTCCGATGTAGTCATAACATACTGTTTTGACTACTGTCAAAGATAAGCCGCAGGGGTCTGAAATAGATAAGAATTTAAATAACTATTTTCTATTCATTCTATATTTAAACAAAAAACGAAGATATTATTTCATATCCAAAATCTTTATTTTTCAAGTCGGTCGTCATTATTATATCACGCCTCCCCCCGCAGCTTTACAGAATTTGAGATTATGGCAGCTTTTCATATTCAGCCTTGGGTCAAAGTCAAAGAGGCATTTTAAAAACCTTTTAATTGATATTGTGAAACATTACACGAGGCCCTATTCAAAACAGATCAAATTTCATGTCATTAAAATCGAGAATTTTCAGGAGAGTGAGAGAGAGAGAGAGAGAGAGAGAGAGAGAGAGAGAGAGAGAGAGAGAGAGAGAGAGAGAGAGAGAGAGAGAGAGAGGGAGTATGTAATACTAATAGTAATTACAACACAGTATATAGTCACACTAGTTTTAATGTAAATGTATTATCAATGTAAGAACAAAATTTAAAAATCAACTACAACCAATTCATTTTAACAAGCAACTTAATAGATGAATAAATAATAGATGTAAGATATACATAAATACATAAATAAATATGTACTGATTTGTTTCAGTAAATAAACTCAAATTCATCATTGAACCTTTGAACGCAAAAACAACATTTAAATTCAATATTAACAGGTAATTTTCAATGTAGAGATGAGGGTACATAATAATGCAAGAGGGTACTAAAGACGATTAAATATTTGTGACATCCAACGAGAAATCAAACGGGTACAGATTTAAGCACAGCACATAGTAAATATTAAAATAAAAATTAAGATTTATAAATAAACATAATAGGCCAATGATATATATGTTTAGTTTATGCAACTATTTATTTGTTTTATCGCCATATTCTTTTATTAGGGTAGAGTGTATTTTTAGCTTGTTAGTTGCTTGTTAGTATTGTAGGGGGTTGAATCTTGTGGAGTATTTGTGAATCGTCGCCCTGAATGTAAATTCTGAGTATAGGTTTTTTGAATTTTATTATGTTTAATGCCGTTGTAACTGTTTTTAGTGTGATACTTCCTTTATTTTCAACCAATTCAATTTCACATAATGCTCATTAGTGCATAATGCACATACTCAAATAGTTTTGAATTAAATATGTAGCGAACACAGGCATTTAAACATTTTTGTAATCTATTCAGATGTTCCTAGTTCATGTCGAGGCATGGTAGAAGATAATAATCGATGTACGGTATAATGAGGGATTGAACCATTTGTTTTTTTTAATATTTAGGCCGGCTTTATTGTCATTCTTCTTAGTTGATGTAGGCTTCGATAAATGTTTTGACATACATCTGAGATTTGTCTTTTCAACTTAATGTTTCGTCGATAGTGATGCCTAGATCCTTGACCTTGTCAACGAATTGCATTGGTTCGTTACCTAGTATAATCTTAGAGATTTCATGTTTTTTTTTTAGATCTCAGAGATATTTTGTATGTACTATGAATATTGACTTTGTTTTGTTTTCATTTATAAGTAAGCCGTGCTCTTTATTCACGTTTTTTATTTCTTAATTAACTGTATCGATTATTTCATTAATTTTATCAGGCTACTTTTTATGTATACCTGAAGGTCGTAAACATATAATATTGATTTGCATTCTGTGAAACAGTCGCAATGCTATTGATTAATGGAATGAATAGTAGTCCGTACAAAGTAAGACCTTGTCGGATACCTATCTTTACTTCCTTCTTAGGCGACATGCTTTTTTTGTTTTTAATCCGTTGTGACCTCTCATGCATGTACGATTCAAAAAATTGTACCAAACTTCCATCGAGAGTGTAAGATTGAAGTACCGATATTAAAAGCTCTTGATTTATTGAATCGAATGCTTTTGATAAATTAAAGAGCACTAGAATTGTATTTCTTTCTGGTCTATTGCATGTCGTGTGTCATCTATGAGTTTTATTAACGCAGTGTTGGTGCTTCTCCCAGATTGATATCCTGAATGCATGTTGTTTAATAGATTATTGCTAATATAGTTGATCAACTTAGTTTTCAACTATATAGCTAATATTTTGCTGGGGGTAACAAACAATTTATTGGTCCAAAGTCACTACGTAGTGTCGGATTGGATATTTTTGGAAGTGGTATTATTTCTTTCCATAACTCTGGGTAGGTCTTATTTATTAAGCAATGATTAAATATATGATTTAGTGCCGGACTCACTTCGTTCTTATCATTTTTAGGATTTTTTTTGGCACCTCGTCTAGCCCTATTGCATCCGAGTTTACTTTGTACATCGCTTTTAATACATCACTGGTAGTGACTTCTTGGATTTTGAGTTTTTCTACAGTATACGTAGATGCTTGATCTCTATAGGATCGCAGGATCTCAGGGTTTATTTGGTTTTCTGCATTAGTGGTGCAAAAAAACCTGTTTAATTCATCAAGGTTTACTTTAATTTCATCATTATATCTTCTTTGTTTTCCGGCACCATAGTTTCTGAGTAGTGTGGAAACACTTTTTTTTTGTGTTTATACTATTCTGAAATAAGACATGGAAGTATTTATTTTTTTCGTTCTTATTTTTTGTTTGATCATCTTGAGGGTTAGCCTTCCCCTCTGTAGCTACCCAGAACGTTATTTTAACTTCGGGAAAAATATCCAAAGTGAAAGAACAAGTCGTTGTTTTGAAAAATTTAATCTAGGGATGTCAGCTTACCGGACACAGAGGGCAAAGTTCGTACGCCTTGAAGGGTATCGTTTAAAAAAAAAAGTGTTGGTGTCAGGATGACATGTTAGGATGAGAATTGGCGAAAGCATAAATTCTGAACCCTACTTTCTAGTTAGACGTTTTGTACCAAAATTTACGTAATCAGAGTCCAGGAATTAGTCTGTCGAAAAGTCCCTATCCTCCTTCATATTAACGCAAAACCTCAAATCTCAAAAATGACTTTACAGAAATTTAGACAGTTTCTACTTCAGACCTTACCCTCCCTGCCCCAAACCCTACCTAACGTATGTGTCCCTAACCCCAGCTCTACCTAAGCTAACTCATCTCGAACCCTGACTCTACCTAACGTATTCTGGCCCTAACCCCAGCCCTACCTAACCTGGCTTAAATCGTCCCTAACACTAACCCTACCTAACCTAATCTAACCTAACCTGTCTGTGACCCTCACCATTCTTAACCATACCTAACTCGTCTTTAACCTAATCCCTCCCGGTCCTTAAGCATTCGTAACCTAACCTGACCCAATTTATGTGCACTCCCCCGTTAACACGAATATGGTCACGTAAAAGAAAATTTGTGCTTCCAGATTAAAAACATATCCATGTTAAATTGTGGGAAAATTATTATTCAAATGAAAGTCCAATTATTGTATATTTAAATGTTAATAGTAAAAAATGAATAATCTGCCCGGGGGACCGCGGTAGCCGAGTGGTTAGCATGAGAGACTCTCACGCCGCGGTCGTGGGTTCGATTCCCACCGTCGCCTGTGGCCCTTTTTTCCCGATAACCTCCAATTTGAACACAAGAATTCGTACTATGGCTAATATGCAAGATCATAAGGCCAATAAAAAAAAAAAAAAAAAAAAAATCTGCCCGGAGTTCAACAATGTTGAAGAAAATTTTATATTTACCTATGATTTGGGGCAATTCTGCTGGGAAGATTCATCGATAAATTAAAGGAAAGTTTTATCGAAGAGGCTAGTTTTATAGAATAGTGTTATATATAAACACGACTACAATGCTTTTGTAAAGGGTTAGCGGTTCAAAATCTGTGAATAGAAAACAGTTCGTTTTCGTCCAT